GAGCGAGGTTCAAAAGACTGTAGAGAACAGAGTGCAATGGAGGCGTGCTAGTGAAGCCCTATGTTCCACTAGGAACCCAAGGGATAAATAATAATATTGACCGAAAGGTGGAAGTCTTAATCTTGCGCAATAAATTGATACTTAATCGCTAGGTCATAAATATCCTTCCTCTTGTTTTCGCATAGTCAAAGTGAGTGGGGCGGACGAGGTGTATTATCCCTACTGTACATGTAATAGGTTTAGTTGACAGTTTAGTCTAGGAATATAGGGCTACTGATTCCCTTTTATACGTATTAGCATACTGATTTCCTTTTCTTATATATTGAAGATTTGTGCATCAGCTACTGTAGTGCAAATGCCTCGATGCCTTATCCCCCAGAATTGTAAATATCCTATTACTTTTGTCTTGTTCTTCAGGTATTTTTTTCCCTACTGCCGCTGATACTCGCTTCCCTTTGCTTTTATTGATTTCTTCTAGTTGTTAATTTAGTGTAGGAATTTCAACCGTTATGAACTTGCTTATTGTCTGACCCTCCATCTTTATTGGTGCATTGAGCTCTAATGGACTAAATAATTCTCGTAGACTTAAATATGGTTTTCATTGTATCGCAACATTACTTAATTCACAACTAAAAACTTAAACTTTGCAAATTAATTACGTGCGACCATGTTCTCTAGAGAACATACTAGTCTTAGCTGCTTTTTTTTTTACTTATAGCTGTCGAAATTCCCTTCCAAACTGACCAGGAAGGTATTATTATCTCTCTGTAACCAATGTTAGCGACTTTCTTTTCTAGTTAGGAACTTACTCAGCTCGTTTCAATTCTCAAAGTTAGTAGATTTAGTGTTAGTAGCTGTTTTAAACATTTTCGGCTGAGGAGTCATGAAGTAGAAATCAAGGTTTTTATAGATATTATGTAACGAACAGGAAGTATAACTCGTCGCTGAATACATTACGCAACATGTAATAACATTTAACATATATTGGCATATGACACTCTATTTTTTGGTTTGCGAAAATTGTCATCGTCTGTCTCACCTTCATACCCAGTGAAATACATAGGTACCGGCGATTATTTATGATTAAATAGTAATCAAGATTTGCTTATCTAATCCCGTATAAGTAGTCTATTATACGTTGCTGATACAAAGAACTCCTCACACTTGTGATTTACATAGTGTAAGTCATAACGCGGTATAATCTGAGTTCAGAAAGCTGTTGCTTAGTTAATATATTTTCCCTCAGCATAACAAGTCATCTTTAGAACTGTTCAAGAAATGTTAACGTGATCAAAATTGAAGAGGAATGAAAAAATCGTACTATATTGTCCAAGTCTATTACTGGTTTAAAGTAATGAAATAGGAGATGGTTGCACGTTGTTGTCATTTCTTGTAAATATTTAAAAATGGCCAGTTTCTGTAAGATATCTACTTCTGGTTTTCTAAATGAGAAATACTAGTCAGCGTCCTGTTAAAAGACTAACCCTGGAGTTGAGAATTGGTTTCAGCTAGTTGCATTTTTTAAAAAAAAACTATCTACTTGAAACGAAATGATGAATTAATCTTTTACAGCAAAACACAATTTGAACACGATGATGACTTGGCATAGGAATTCAACATTCATTCATGTGACCAGGTAGTTGGTTACTTACTTCACAAGAGAACTGAAAATAGGATTGACTTTTTGATTTATTGTTGCTTCATTATTTTTCACTGATCAATAATAATCACAATAATGGTCAAATGTATTGATTAACAATGATATTGTTTATATAATACGCAAATTGTAAATTATTATTATTATTATTATTATTATTATTATTATTATTATTATTATTATTATTAGTCCTTTGGGTTCCTAATGGAACATAGGGCTTCAGTAGCACGTCTCCAGTGACCTCTGTTCTCTGAGATCTTTTGAACCTGGTTCCACGACAGCCCACAACCTCTCATTTCCTCCTCGCATGACCTCCTCCATGTCACCCTTGCCTCGGACGTCCAACTCGTCGCTTCCCATAGGGATTCCACTCGAGGGCCTGACGCGTGATGTCCTCAGTCGGCCTTCTCAGTGCATGGCCAATCCATCTCCACTTCTTCCTGCATATTTGTTGCGTGATAGGTTCTTGGTTGGTTCGTTCCCAGAGCTCCTTGTTGCTTATTCTTTCTGGCAATCCACCTGATCTTCAGTAGCGAGTGAGCGTAAGCAGTTGTTGATGAATGTCTGTAGTTTATTGGAAATCCCTATCGTGACGCGCCAAGTCTCTGAACCATGTAGAAGCACTGACTTGACGTTGGTGTTGAAAATCCGGATCTTGTTCACGCTTTATGCTGAGTGGAGTGCAGAAGATCTCCACACTGGTTTCAGGCTAATGAACTCCTCTCTTCCTTTTCCGATTCTGACTTTGACATACTCGTGTGTGCCACCGCTGCCTGTAGTTGAAACAGTGCTTCCTAGATAGGTGAAGGGGGTTACTTCCTTTAAGTTTCTCCCATTGATGGGTGATTGGAGTTTGTTGTTGTTGGTGGTGGTGCGGTATCTTCATCACTTCTATCTTCTCTATATTCACTTGAAGTCCTGTCTCCGCTGCACTGCCCTACCCTGCCTCTTCTGTCAACTTGTTGGATTTCGGCTGTAGATCTTCAAGTTTGTGTGACATCAGGCACAAGTCACCGTTGGCGAAATCCAGGTCTTCTAAGTTCTTTTCCGCAGTCCAGCGTATCCCCCTCTTCTCGCTCCCCACTGTTTGCTGTATGATCCAGTCGACCACAATCAGGAATATCATGGGTGATAGTAGGCAACCTTGTTTCACTCCTACTCCTGTCTTCACTTCAAAAGCATCACTGAGCTTCCCATCGTGAATTACTTGGCTGGCATGTGGCATCTTCATATAGTTGTTGAATGAGGTTGATAAAGGTTTGCGGTACTCCGTAGTAATGAAGCAGTTTCCAAATTACTTCTCGGTCGACGCCGTCAAAGGCCTTCTCAAAGTCGATAAAGTTGAGGTAGAGTTGAGTTGACTGCCATTCTATGCTCTGTTCTATGATGATGCGAAGCGTAGCAATTTGGTCTGCACATGATTTGTACTTCCTGAAGCCTGCCTGTTCGGGTGGTAGTTTTGAATCCAGTGCTTTCTTTAGCCTCTCCAGGATGATGCGGCTTAATATTTTGCTTGCTTTGGGTGGACAGGAGAGTGATTCCGCGCCAGTTCGAATTATAAATGGACAAATTTTAAGAATTATCTAGTAACTGACTAGTTTTGTGTTGGTGAGTGTGTATATTTATTCTTGTTGTATATTTTGGCTTGATTTAATCATGCAGTCCAGGTGTTGTGGTTCATCATGAGTTTGTATTAATTTGCTGTTGAACTGAGAAAAATGTGGATTGTTTTGTTTCTGTAGGTCGACGCGTGAAGTGCATAGTGTAATTCATTTGTCTTTGGTTTACAAAATTGCAATCTAGTTAGCAAAACACTTATTGATTTCTTAATCATATCAATTAGGTTATTCTGTGTCATGAAAACAATCTGACTGATTGACTTAGGTGGGATCGCAGTGGTGTTTTGTATTTGAGTTGTTATTGTCTTCAGTTGGAGTTCTCGTCTTGACTTAAGCGTTCAACTTTCAAGTTATGGGTTGCAGATTCTAAGCCCAATCCACTTATCTAACTGTTTTGTATCCTAAGCCCTCATACAATAAGTCTGGCTGGTAGCGTAGTGCATAAAAACACGTACTGATTAAATACATTATTATTTTGTCGTTTAGAGTTATCAAAGGCGGGAGGATTTCTGTTTTGACACTTCCAAAAAAACAGTAATCTACAGAGAATTACGTTTTTGAGTAGATTGATCGCTTTCATTATATTAGGTGGCTAAGCCGTTGAGCATATCACTATAACAAGCATATTGTAATAGTACTGACATGATTTACTACCTATGATCGAATTTCATTGGATTAATGACTAGCTAAACAAAAATTTTTGTAATTAAAATACTCCATTCCTTTTCAATTCTGATAATCATCCTATGATTTACTATAATCCACTGTACTGAGGGTAAGTACTATTTTAAGTGATATATCTTCCCCTGTATACCTTATATTTAATTACAATAAGGAAGAAATTATCCCATTGAACAACTGGTTTGATGGAGTAAGAATTAAGTAATATAAAAGAGGTTACTGTTTCAAAAATGATTAATTGTCTAAACACATTTTTTCGTCGATTTCTAATCATTGATATATGATTAAACTGTCAAATATGTGGGAGTCCTGGATTAGGCGAAAATATTGATTTCGAATTATTCATTGTTCCCTTTTTATCGATTTGATCAAATAATTTTATGAGCAACTTTATAAGCCTTGTATCACATTTTTGTAATATTCTACGTAAACGAATAAATCAATCAAGTTAAAAGGTTGCCTGGTTTGAGATAAGATTCGATTACCATCTACGTTCTTCAACTTCTGGAAATTCGCGATATAACGTGATTATCATCCATACACATCCACTGATGTGTATTTATTTTTGCAACTTACTGGTTTCATTGATGTATGACTTCCAGAGGTAGACAGTCGACTTGCGACAATTAAAACTCGGATTCCAATCAATTCAGGACATAGCCATCTGGATAGTTGGGTAGTATGGTTAGTTCTCATACATGAAGTATCGAACTGTATACTAGATTGATGAGTTTTCTAGACCTATAGATTAATACTGATTTAAGCGTTCAATTACCAACTATTGGGTCATAAGTTAGAGTTCACTGCACTTACTTTAGTCTGGGAAGTTAAGTTATACCATAAAGCTTCAATACACTTCTACGTTAATGGGTTACACTATTTCAAAGCTCTGAATTCAGAACTTGTCAATATTAGTCTTAAGTGACTTCATACAATAATCCCATCGCTATATACTTTCGCAACAAAAAATAACGTTTTCTTCTAACCTTCTTATCTTTTACATCGAATTCATTAGCTGACTGTCTTTTTTTTGTCATTTTCAGATTGCACCAAAAACTAATATTGCTTACAACCAAATGATATTTTTCGATGATTTACAATGGAATATTTCAGAAGTGAAGAATATGGGTGTTCACAGTTATCTGGTACCTAATGGTGTACATACGGGTGTTTTTCGAAAAGCGATCAGAGAATATGATAAATTTTGGTCGCGCAAAAATAATCCATACTGAAAGTTTTGAACATTATTTATCCTGAGATGAGAATATACTACTTGTGATCATTTCATATCTTGTCTAGTAGAAAACTTCAAGTCGTTTCAGAAATCTGATGCATTTTAAAGCGGTTTCTAACCGTTCAATTAATTCAGTAGTATTCTCGCCAATTCATGACACTTTTGTTTCAGAGATCACTCCTTGTGTTATTAGCTAGGTGGTTTCCAATGTAGACCGTGTTGACTGACACCACAGTTTGGCACTTAAAGAGAACTACTTACCTGAGAGAAATGTCAAGGTGGAACGTACAATTTGTGAATCATTTGCAAACTGATAATCTTATTCTGAATCAGTCATCAATAGTTGTTTTAGTCGCATCGTGTTATGGTATGTAGAGATTCTACTCGGGATTTTGAAATGCCGTATTGCTGCTGCCTTTATCTTACTGATCCGTTATAGCACTACTGACTAGTTTTACTACTCATGGAGAATCAACGACACTGGGAAAGTTGTTTGAAGTGCAGTAATCCATAAAGTTGTTATTGTCTTGATGTAAATAGTTGTAGCGTGATAAGGATTAAAGAGTGAAGTTGTATTGCAGAAATGTGTAGGCATTTCGTTTCTGTTTTCCGAGAAGCATTTGAAGCAATAGTGTACATTCATCCTAGGAGAAGCGGAAGTAGATCAACTTTGAAAGGTGTACATTCCACTTTTCAGAAAATGAGGTTATCTGAGGGATAACCGAAGCTCATCGTAAACTAACATTTTAAAATGTCAACTTGCTTACTTTATCTTCCAACCATTTATCCAGTGTGTTTACTTTTAGAAAAACTTATTCGTAGCTTTAGGATCTCTCCTGAATAAATAGTATGAATGAAAGTGCACTAAATGTTTATCTTTTCACATTCTTAACTTCGGAGATAGAGTTGAGGTCATTACAAATACAGTTACCATCGTATGTTACTGGCCACAAAATTTAATTGTTTTAAGTTTAGTCTTAAAAGGGATCTTTTTTTCTTTCAACTTTCAAATATCGAATAAGATGTGAAAAAGTCTGCTATCAGCCCCTCCGATTTTTGTACTAATTCTATTTTAAACCAAATGATTAGTTTTAATGAAGTAATCAAAAACATTGATCATAAACGGAATACAAAATCCTTCATTTTACACATTTAAATGTGTGAATGAATTATTCTTCGCAAAACGTGATCAAAATCGCCAATTATAAAGCTTTGGTGCAAAAAGAAATAGTGTCTGTAACCAATTGACTGCAATCTGGCCTAGTAGAAGATCAATACGGTTGGTTGTGTGATAGAGATATTAAATTATTCTGAAAGTGGAAGGTATTTTTAGCTTAGGGTGATATGATATTTTGCACACTGATGCGACTAACAATAAAGCAGCCTTACATACATCGGTAAGTTATTATTCAATGCTTTCTGACCTTCTGTGTTATTCTTAATGAATTGTTTATTTTTAATGGTATTTGATTTCTATTCGTATTATTTTCAGTTTCATTTGTTGTATATAAATAAACTCTAATCGATTTAGTGATAAAATACTATTAATTTATCAGCCTTCTTGATCATTCTCCATTTTTACGGATAGCTATTAATTTAGTGCAATTAGTTAGTCAATAATTTCGTACCGATGAACACTAATCGTTTGGTCATACCGAACGGTATCAAATTCGCCCTTTCGAATCAACTAATATTCTTTCAAAACCTGTCCAATCCAATCCACTGTTAGTTCATTACACAAAGGTATTTTGAACAGGCAATGCTAAAAAGCAATTTCAATAGATGATAAGTAAACGATTGTAGATTAGTCTATTTGACATGTAGTACTACTTACTAATGAATAATACTATGTCAAATAAACTAATCTAACATGGAATTATATCCTACTATCATGCCCAAATTCAATGTTTGCATTGCTGAAGGAGATCGTGCGAGGAAGAAATGAGAGCTTGTGGGCTGTCGTGGAGCCAGGTTCAAAAGATTTCAGAGAACAGAGTGTACTGGAGACGTGCTACTGAAACCCTATGTTCCATTAGGAACCCAAGAGGAAAAAAATAAAATAATCATTCAAGTTACTTAAAATGTTCATCCACCTAATGCATTCTGAAATAGTTGTTATGCAGAAATAAAGGGAACTATAGTGATTAGTGTTTATTTAGAGTTAAACCTATGGTTCTATGAGACATGGAACTCATTCGCTAGTAAAAATGACTATTCAGAATCAAAGAATTGAATAATATGAGATTGGAGAGAAACATAAATCATTAGTTTATTAAATGTTTGGTCACATTGAGTCATTCTTACTCAGTATCTTAATTTTAGGGAATTAAAAAAATACACTGTCTTTTACTCCATACTTTGAAGTTTACGGAATATGTACTAGCTGTAATACAAGCGTAAACATGAGGCTAGAACTTTGGTTTTACAGTGGTAAATGTTTTTGACGGAGAGAGTATAAATAACATAGTATATTCATACTAAATGACTGAGCTTGCAGGTATTTTAAAAACACTCGTAATATGATGAAGTCTAGCCATCAAGAAACACACAACGGCCCTATTCATATTAAGAATTTGTAGTGGGAGGGGGAAGAGGATAGTGACAAACACTCTTACTGCACCAGGCTTCATCTCAAAGATGTTCAGAAGGAAATCCAGGTACCATAACGTTTGATTTAACACTCGCGCACTTTAAGGATGCTCAGGTATCTGGCTACAGTATTGGAAAGATGTGATAAACTGATACCATTTCGTCATTCTGAATCTCTGTAATTTATATAAAAATCAGCATGATATTAATTTTAAAATTGTCACATCTAAAATACTGGTTGCTGTCATTATTTCATTGGCCATTTACAATGCATAAGAAAGCAACTTGTAAACAGAAGATTGAATTTCATTCATATCGCCGTTGGACTGATCATACATTCGACTTATCATAACAAGTGACTCTAAAGGCCACACTAACAACTGCTGCAGTAACGAATTAGAGTTATATATTAAGTGAAAAAACTACTTTCCCAATCAAAAGAGAGAACCCTAATGAGTTATTTCAGCAGTTACTAGAGTGACCTTTAACGTCGCTCGTAATAATGACCATAAAACACTAGAGTTTCTTACTTGATTTATGCTGAGAACCATGCCTGTGACTCCAACATCGTCAGGTGACCATCTGTTTCTATGCGTCTTAGTTGTCGACGCGCTTATGAGTCACCGACTGGAAGAGAAAACGAGATACACATGGTTCTCTTATTGGTAATTCTTTTAGACTTTGTTGTGGTGTTTAAAAAGCGGAACAAAATTTCCACAACACACATTGAGTGACTCTAAAGGCCACCTTGACGACCACTGTAATAGGCCTCTCTATTTACTGGTTATTTCAGCAGTTTCTAGGATGCACTTTAGAGTCCCTTCACGCATTAAACTAGAAACATTGAAAAACACCAATAAGACCGCAAAAATGAGGAACATAATTTACAGTTAATTGGCGATTACTTTTCAATTGAGACCAAAAGCGATAATTAACGGGTAGAAAGAAAGCTTGTGAAACAGTTAGAAAATAATACTGTAAAGTAACTTTAGTAGATTGTCGTTTAATAAATAAATGCAATAATTGGCTAAAATAAACAACCCAAGTTCACACCTTCCCTTCATTGGTCCGTTATAGCAAAGCTAGCTGTGTAATTCTCAAATGATGAATGTTTGTAGCTCAGGAGGATGATCTTGGTTTTGTTGTGCTCTCTGAGCTGGATGGTTTAATCGTGTAGCTTTCAGTATTTTAGACAACATTCTGAGTACTAGCTTCAGTATGAATGTTGAAGTTAGTGCCTATTCGTGAGGCATAAAAGATTTTTTTGAATCATATGTTTATGGGCGAAAAATTGTGATTCTTCAAATGGACACTTGCGATTCTTACCATATATAAGTCATCATCATTTCATCAATTATTACTTTGCATGAAAAAAGGGATAACCTTTGTACTCATGAAATTCATACATGTGTATATTTGCGACTGAACTGCCTCAATTCATTGCAGTGTCAATATGAGTGATGGGTAATGGGATCCAGGACCCATGTTTCGTTCCACATAAGACTCATCAGCTACATGCAACTATCTCCCAGCGAATGATACTGTTCGCACTGAAAATCGGACCTAGCATATACAGCCTCAGAAGTCGAAATAGTATCCATGGGACTACTGAGTTGGCGCTAGGTTCTAGTCACATCAGGAACAACATTACTCATTAGAAGGCAAGTACATCCAGTTAACTTGTCCTTGATAGGATGAAATGCTCGTCCTGAATTCTACACCTAGCCACTATAAATTATTAGTTTCCAACTACGACTACCAGCGATAATAAGGCCTCCGCGCAGCAGCCCGTATGCAAGAGTGGCCAGTCAATTAGGTTCAACCAGCGACGGGAAACTAATCTCAATACAAAACTACAATTCTTCTTCTTGAGAAGAACCAGAATAACAACTCTTTTCACGTTCACAAAAGGAAATTCGTATATGGAAATTCTTCTTTACAAGTTTTAGATTGTACGAAGTTTGGGAATTAAGTTAGTAATTCGACTTCACGCTGAAGAGTCAACAGCAACCACTTTTGGTAGGTTGACAGAATAAAACTCTCGGTCACTGCACAAAAGTAGCAAGGGTGGTCAACAAGGTTGTGCAACTCCAGTTTTCCTTTTCAAGTAGTTTGTTATCAGTCATACTTTTAGAACAGCTATATTGTGTGGTGTTTCACCCGGAGACTTTTCTATCTCAGTATAAAGACACAATGAGTTTCACTCAATACTTGATGAACACCGTCGGGATGTAAACTACAATTGGGAGATTGGTTAGTGCCTGTGTTAATCAAAAATATTTGAGAAGTCCCCGTAGTTGGAGAGTTGTGTTTACTGATGAGGATATAATAGTCGACACCAATCTTCATGTAACAAAATCCAGAGGCATACATCAGTCGAGGTGTTTTTGGCACTAACACAACGTTCGTTCAACGACTAACGTGTTTCCACACTAATCGATGAAGCTAAAAACGAGTTTTGTTTGCCGTCTGCACAGTAAGCTCCAAAAGGAAGAATGAACTTCTATTCTTCATGTGATTATAAATTTCGGCATTTCAATTTACTTGTGGTTCGCCGTTACTGTACAGGGTCAAATTGGTCTATCTCTGTAGGCAGATAGGCTCTTATGTGGATGTCTCGATATTCCGGATATTCATGACGTTGTTTTCGTAACCGCAGTGGAGTCCAGGACGCACATTTCGCCCCATTTGCAACTCGTCAGCTGGATGCACCTGCACCCCAGTGAGTGATATTGTTCCCACTGAGACTTGAAGCCAGTACCCGTCGCGTCAAATACCAAAGCACCATCCATGAGAGCCACCATTTGTGCAACGAGTGTCATTTGTTGCTGTTACGTACTCGTAATTCCCCGTTGCTATACGGGGTCAACTTGCATTGGCTTTTGAAACAATGTGGTACTAGGTTCGAGCCTTAGTGGGGGCAACACTCGCTGGATGCATGTATATCCAGCTGATGAGTTCCAAATAGGATGGAGGACGCGTCCTGAACTGCACTGCAAGTAACTGAGACAAATATAACTTCGGCACTCCTTCTTATACGCCTTTATTCTCATCGCATTTTGCAATGATTTTCTTTTCCGCAGAAAATAATCATAGAACTTTCCATCACTTTATGTAGTCCAATTGCAGTCACTCAACCGTGAACGCACTATCATTTGAATCCAGTTAAACATTGTTCCCACCTGATTCATTTCCCAGACAAACCTTTAAATTTGCAAAACAAGCTATATCCCCTCAAAAAAACTGACAACAGTAGAAGACTTTGTGGAATACTGTTATTTGAGTTGTAGCATTTACTCGTTGTTTTTAATACGAAACGCAATCAACGTTCTTCTATACATCTATCCTACAAAGACAATATCTGAAGAAAAATTAATCAAATGGTATTCAGAAGTTGAGAATGATATCCACAATATAATGGCTAACAATAACACAACCATTCTATTTGACAAAGGTGAACTCAGCTGAAATGAGTCACAGTCAGGCTCATAACAGTAAATTATGTTACCACCTCTTAGTCAATTAATTATTCATGACGAAAACAAAAGAAAGTCCAATAAGTATCTAAAGTTCTCATTGCAAATAGATTATAAATTTCACCAAAAGAATAAACAGCTGGAAGATTAGAAAGGAAAGCAACAAGTAATGAAAAAACACTGGCATACTGCTAAAACATTATATATATATATATATATATATATATATATATATATATATATATATATATATATATATATATATATATATATATATATATATATATATATATATATATATATATATATATATAGGGAAAGTGGCAACGAAATCAAATTAACACCAAATACTGCCAAAACTTTCTGTAAGAATGTAACGTGTAAATCGAAACAAGATGAAACCATCCCTTTAAAGAACCAGGCTGTAAACAATGAATGCACATATCTTTGGAGTGTGTGATATCCTGAATGAATTCGATTCAATACAACAATATAGTATTGCATTTTAGAAGAATTGTCTTTACCACAGAAATCAGCGTAAGAAAGGAGGAAAGAATGAAATTGAGAAGGGATTAGACCCACCATCAACAGTGAAAGCGTATTTTATTATTTACTATTCATAAGTAAAAGATATTTAACTTGACTGATTATACATAGGTATAAAAAAATAAACAAAAAAAGGGTGTAAATTATTTATCAAATATAATCAGAAGTAAATTTCACAAAAAATCGACGAGAGTTGGATAACTCTCTCAGGCATACAAGAAGATGTCTACATTATACATACAACACGTGAGAAAGAAATATGAGATGAATTCATTCTTTTCGTAGTTTCTGAATCCAAATAATGATGAGATAATGACAAGTATTATCAATTAGCCCATTCAGCGAGTGCTCCAATATCATCCTCCTCCACTTTTTTCTTACCTGAAAGAAATATAGTGGGCGATACAAACATTAACATGCCAAAAAAGATTTTTTTTCAAAAACACAACTCTACTAACATCTTTAAAAGAGATACATTTTACACGGCGATAGTAATTTTGGACCCAACAAAACTAGAATGATATATAAAACGTAAGCCTTGCTCGTATTCACGAACTAGTTAGTTCATCGATTTGATTAACAAGATGATGATTTGAATGTAATAACATTGTCTGGTATCTCGAAGCACTTCGTTTTCGAATTTCCTTTTAACTTTTGTAAAGTAAACCAATAACAGCACAGTAATTTATTGTTTCTGTGAACTAGAATCCATTTTATTCAACAAATCAACCAGAGATAAGATACATTCAATTTTAACAAAGATTATTAATTTTATTGTGGTTGTGGATACGTCTATGAGTAGTCCGAAGTACAAGGTATAGATTACATACAACTTTGTGAATATTACCTTCAAACATCCAACACTGAACCCGTTGTACATGATGTGGAATACACTACTCATTTGGTGTTTGTTAAAACTTTTCTTCACTAACAAATTTCCAATGATAATTATTCACGAAAAGACCTCTGGTATGATTTCATTTCAGATGTCAAAGAATTGCAACTTTTTGTAAACTCATCAAAACAACAGAACGAAACAGATCTCTTCATTGGAACAATAATCCAAAAAGGTTGAAATCAACACTATCTTACTCTGAATTTCTGTTACACTTTCTTAGACAGCTTTCAGTCGATCCATACAAAAGAAACACAACAACAAAGTTGGACATTCATTTATCAGAACAACCACAAGTACAAACGATTATGATGCGAGCCTATCATTTGTAGCAGTTTAAAAAATTCACGTTTTCCACAGTTTAGAATTACGTCGGTGTGCACATAATGGCAGAAGCTTCCTTATTAAACGATTCAGCGGTGACATTAACACAAAACCAGAGAAATAAACTAGGTGAACAGTGAAATAAGAGAATAAAAAATGCGGCTTACCCTATGTGGTCTTCAGTAAGAAGTGATTTGAACGAGGCAAACTGATATCATTTGTAAACTCAGCTTCCACAACTACATGATATAACTAGTCATAACTGTTGACTTGGAAATACTTCTCCTCACTACCAACTGGTTATATCTTTGCTCTCACTTGAAATGAAAAAACTGGCAAGTGGCACCGTTCAATAACTACCTTAATCACTGCACTTAGTCTAAACTGAATGTTGCTCACTAACTGACAAATTTGCTTTGTATGGGACCGGTCGCCATCACAACAGTTACATCCATTGAGTCCAGACAGTAAATGACTACAGAAATATGAGTGTACTTCCCTGTTATACTATGATAGCATTTGATAAGATAAACAAGAAGCACAAGTCATTAAAGTTTTGACCTTCTGAATGAGATTTTTGCGCTAAATTCAACTCTGTATAGTCATCTATGCGCACAAGTCTTCTTCTTAATCGATGATCTATGTTCAAATCAAATCTTACGAACAAAAAGATATGTTAATCGCGAAATACTAGAGTAAATAACTTCGACAGCTTACTTGGTGCATTCTGACGAGATGCGGTAGGTACTGATAAATCGGAATCTGGGACAGCAGGCAATTCAGGCAACCGATTGATATCCAATAGTTGTTGTTCAACTCCTTCAGCCTGTAGCAATAACAAAAGAATACGAAATATAGGGATTATTCCTACTGTTCCAATGAAAGTGAACGATTAGAAAAGTATGATATACTTATTAGTTGCTTTTACTCTGAGTTCTGAAAGGCTTTACGATGATTACGCCTAACACGTTTTGGAATTAATTTTTATACAGAAGAGAAGGATTGTTAAAAGGTAATCTGAGGAGGTGCTCAAAAAACCGAACCTCCTACTCAAACTAAGTGATTACAACTGGTTTTCATGAGGATATTTGTAACTGTTACCTTGGAGGGATGGAACTGCTAGCATATTACCATTTAATTCATGGAAAACGGCAATAAAATTCTAGTTGTTGAATCATAATAATAAGCAGGTTATCTGTTACTATTTGCAACTCAGTATCCATGAAACACGTTTATTTTTTAGATTGCACTTAACTTGCCATCTACCAAATTGTAGTTCTTATATATAAACCACATACAGGAACAAAGGACGTAAGAAACATTCAAAATTCCACTGAAAAATAATGAGTATCGATACGTTTCTATCTTCCATACAATTTCAGAACACAGAAGCAGTCGACAGTCTTTTGATCATTTTAAGTTTCTTAAACACTATACTATAAGAAATGGGAAACCAGGATACTCAGCAAACACATCCAGATTCGAGTAACTGGGTAACTAGCCTCAACTTTTGTTTGAGGACTGGCTGCCAGAACCACAGTTAGCTGAGTGCAATTCGAGGTCATGACTTACTAGCTGAAAACTAAGTGCTCAGATCAAGGGGCCACAATAAAATAACATAGCAATTCTCACCATCAAAAAGGTTGCTATGGAGTTCTAGCATCCTACTCAAAACCTTGAACACATACTTCTGATATCGAGTTAATCACTCTGTTCTACTAATCACATGTTTGAGAAAAATGCCCATACTCACTTTTCTTATACAACTGGCAATAACGCAGACCTTGAGAGAAAATCTTTTTGTTGAATATTTTACAAGTTGGTTTGGATATGAATAGGGATGTTAACAGAGTATATCTTTAAGCTGTGTACTGTCTCAACACGCCAGTTATGCTCAGTCACCTTATTTGATCAAAGTGGTCTTGAGACTAGGTAATTTTTTGTACAAGTGATTGGAGTGGGAAAAGTCAGTGAATGGATGAGAAAGCAGTTTCATGTTATAATTAGGACGTACCCAGCCACCTTGTGCACCTTTGTGCAGTAGGCATGAGCCACACCAATTGTGAGGTAGCTAGTGATAATACGTGGCTGCCTAAACCTTAGTAAGTGGGGCAGGGTTCGAACCCGTAACCCGCTAGCTGATAGTCATCTCCCTAAATCACTAAGCCACAGCACGTAACTTCATGCACAACAGCATTACTGTGCTGTGCAAAAAAGACAAGTCTGCTAAGCTGACAGCAGCGACCCATGAACTCAAACTGACTAGTCGGTTGCAGTGGAGTGTTTGTTTGAACTCTGGTCATCTAAGTTCCAGTTAATATCTGCATTTGACTGGTCTTAAAAGATGGCTTCAACGTTTACACATCTTGTTTGACAATGACGATGCCAATGTAAAAACTAAAGCTGCAGTGGCAAGGCTTATCTACAAATGCGACACTGAATAAAATTTGAAACAGGAGTGATTTAAAAGGCAAACGATTGTCTCATTGATAGGATTAAACCGCAAGTCCGCCTAAGATAAACTTAACAAAAATCTGTTCAAAAATCACACCGGTAGAATGTGATTGTTAGAGAATTGTAGAAAATATCATGAACTGTTGGTAATGACGAAACAGATGGATTGCAAGAGATTGATGATCAGAAGAACGGTTACCAGAAATAATGCAGTGATGATTTAGTTACAGATTAGGTGAAAGCAAGATTCAACCCAAAATATCGAATATCATCAGTCCAACTGATCTACAGTCTCCCAACTAACCGATACACTCAGTGTAATACTGACACTGACCAGTTAACCTGATGAAAATGCTATCATTTACTTGAAACATGAAAAAGTAGATCATGAATGTTTTCCTGGAAACCTTGCAAGGTTCAGTGATCTAGCATGTACACAGACCTTGATGACAGAGAAATATTATTAATATGCGATTTGCAATTAGTACATCAAGAAAAAGCCAAGAAGGACCAAGAAGTGAATATATGATTAAAAGTAGTATGAATTCATAAGACAGGGAAAGAAGACGCGATAAGTAACTAAGTGTTTCATGACAATCAATAAGAAAATAAGACAAGGTTGGATCTACACTATTAAGACTAATCCAAAACACATCACATATTCTCCAAACATCGGTTTCTGATGTGACGAACTCCAACCAGGAAACCCACATTTCCACATACACCCTACTGCAACAATTAGCAACTTTATGAACCGATATTATATTTAAATTTGACCACCTTAAACATACTTCAACTAAAATTGGGAGTCAGAGTAGATAATGACTAGGCACGCGTGATGTATGAGAAAGCTGCTTGAGTAGATGACGGTTCATGAAATCGTGAACTGATTTAGCACTTCTACACAAGACTCGACGCCTAATCTCTATACGACCAACGTAGTGATTCCACGACACACGGACAATACTGTTAAGGCTGTGGTCCAATACCTTAACCCTTACTATAGAATCCAACTACAATGACCAAGTTTCTTAGCCATATAGTAGAGCCCAGTAAACTTTTGCGCAGTACACTCAAATCTTATATATATATATATATATATATATATATATATATATATATATATATATATTTCACAGAAATCCTCTCCCGTGAAACATACTGGCAGAAGGCATGTCGATCGGCTGAGTCAAAGGTAGTCTTGAGGTCAAGAAAGATAAGTCATCAAAATCAACATAGGACCAGGCATTACTGCATAAAGCTCCAAGTTGACACACCTAATATCACCACATCAAGTAACAAGATGGAAAATGAAGAAAGAAAGAAAAATCAGTCTAGGGAAGTATAAAGTAGTGAAGGAGAAGGATGAATGAAAAACTGACAAGATTAAGTATAGCGGTTAAGGTGAGGACAATATGTCCACACCTGCACCACTGATATGAGTCCTGAACCATATCACTTAGTCTCCAACCACTGGTTTATCCTGTCCAACGGATCCAAACCCGATAGTCCACATCACCACACATGGCTCAAACCAACAGTCAAAGACTTCATACATTGATGCCATGTTTTAGTCTGGCCACCCCGAGCCTTTCTCCAACCTGAACCTACTTCGGCCAACATTGTGTGACCAGGCAGATGGCAACTAAGCATACGTAACACGTGTCCCAACCATGTCAGTCAATGAGGGTTCATAACTGTATCAACTGACTTACCTCTCCTCCCTAAAACTCTACGCCTGGTTTCTGCGTTACTCACATGGTGATACCACGGAATACGGTCTATACTACGAAGGGCAACAGTGGTCAAACACCAGCAGCTTTCTCATCTCCTTTATCTGTCATTGCCATGTTTCGCAACCATAGAGTAGACTGCAGCACAGTACACTCGATTCTTAATCGACAATTAAATATCGTGGGGGCACCAACCGAGTCTTTTGTATCCGTCCACAGATTTCGTCGACCAGTGGACCAGCACCCACTAGGGCTGATCCCACTTCCCAGGTAAGCGAAGTGTTCAACCCACTCAACCACTTCACTCTCTAATGTTAGCTTGGGCACTGTTGAAAACCATTCATGGAATAACAAATCGCGTTTGTGTAGTGAGAAATGCACCCCAAACAATCTCAAATCGTCACTCAGAGTTCAGAAGACTCTGCATCTTGTCAGCATCTTCAACTAACAGGAACATATCATCTACGTACTCTAAGTCTACCAAAAATCCTCGGATGATTCGGTCAATACCTGTGTAGTCAGGTGTCGACAGGGAGACCTCCATTAGAACGTGTATGAAAAATTGAATAGGAATGAAGAGAGTGGGCATCCTTGACGGACATCACTCGACGTGCACAGCTCACTCAACATTTCACCATAGGCTCTAACACATCCACAGATGTTTGAGCAAAGAGCTTTCAACAGAGTGACGCACTTACTCTCTATCTCTTTGAGTGAGAGATATTGTCATAAGTCTTCTTGATCGACGGGGTTGAGTGCCACCGCCTTCAGGTGGAGAAATACAGCTATTGTCGGGCGTCAGTAGGCGTATGTGTGTTCCAGAACCTGGTGGAGTGTGAATATTCAGTCGATACTCGTACGACCAGGTCTGAAGCCTGTTGGGTTTACTCGGGTTTGATGTTCTCGAGTTCCACTCAGGTGTTTAATGATTATAGAACCTAGAATTTTCGTCAGGCTGATTCCTCTGTGGTTATCGCAAGAGGACTTCTCGCCTTTCTTGAAGACTGGGATAATCAGTGATTGAGATCAGTCTGAGGGGTCCATATTTTAGTCTCACACACTAGTTCACACTTCAGTTAACTTGACTAAAAATACTCTACCTGAGGAACTAGTCGGTTTGGTCCTGCTACCCTACCTTGTTTCAAGTTACCTACCATTTCCTTAACTCCTGCGAGTGTTGGGGACCTATCTCAATGTTCTGTTCAGGATTTGACTGGATAGTGGGCAACGTAATTGTAGATGAAGGCCAGTTGAACTGTTTCTCGAAGTGTTGTGGTTGTCGTTCTAGTCGTCTTCACTGCGAGTAAATCACAGATCCATCCTTCTCCACTCACTACAGTCTCACTAACTGTTGACCTTTTCACCTCAGTTTCCATAATAAATCTAGATAATTATCCACTGTTATTTATCACCAGTCTTTCTTATCTTTTGAGCCTTAGCTGTCCACCACTTCACGGTTATTGCGTAGACTTTTTGTCAGTCTACTTTTGAGTTGAGTTTGCTCTTCATTGTACTCAGAGGCGTTAGGGATGGGTTTGTGTGCATCTGTTAACTCAAAAGAAGCACCCGATATCCATTTGCTCTTTTTAACCCTTTTTGAGAGTGGGCCACGGTCTTTAATGCTGTTTTTACAGTAGGCTGGAGATGGCGCTGAGCTTCTTCTAGATGGGTGATAGTGTTCTGTTCCGGCAACTGCCTATCCAGTTTCTCACTGAAAGGGGTCTTAGTGCTCTCATTATCGAGCTGCACTTGTATTGGCGCTGTTGACTTTTTTTTACGTCCATTGAAAAGTACAACGTTGTATTTGTATTTAGTTTGACCTTGTGAGTTTGGTCATGTTGAATGTTTTACATCTTTTAGAGTAGCACTCGCTGAAGTGGGTAAGCAACCGATAGAATTGTGATGTAAAAATGCAGCGTTGTGGCAGACAAACTACACCATACGGTATCGTCATTGTCAACGTACCCAGTTAACACAGAGGTTGTAAATTTGGTCTTATTGCATGGTGATCAGACATGAAAGCTTCGAAACAAAGATGGTAGAAGAATTAGCTTCTAAATCTAACAACCTGAAGGCATTAGTCATGCATGATGGAACCAATGGATGAGAGCTGCAGTTTGAGTGTAGGGCGCTAAGATTGGTTGACAAATGAGCAAAGTAGAATGAGATTGTGTGAAACTAAGGATAAAAGTGGGTCAGTCAATAGTAACATTGAACATGGTGTTATTACATGATGAAGTTGTCGTGCTTCACACCAAGGTGCTGAGGAAGATATGAGAGTAGTTGACACACGCCTGCTGCCCACACTGTTAATTAACTAATACAACCCAACCTGATACAGGTCCATGTACTAAACTATGAGCCAAGCATGTTGTGAGAGCCTATGATACTACCTGGTCACCTAGACCAAAGAAGCAGGAGTTAAGTTTAAATCTGAAACCTACCGTGTGAAAGTGCAGTTCCTAATTTACAAGAGACACACCATGGAAGCCTAGTGCTCCTTGAAGTGTCAAAACAAAGTGGATTATTGAGTGGCTTTATCGACATTGGTGTGTGTCACCACACACTCAGATATCTGTCCTGGGGTCGCCAAACACAGACTTTGATTTAGTTGTTACATCTGAATCAGGAAACCCCATACGGCTGGCACCAGAGGACCACAGGACCCGCAGGAGTCTTTTAGTTTAAAAAGCAGCTTTCTCTAAACCTGTTTTCAATAAGGTAATGCAGCATCAGCATGGGATGCTGGTTATTCACGGGGAACACTTTACTGCTACTACAACCCTTACAATCAGCAGTAGGAATTCATACTCAGACGCCTACTGAAGTGTTAGCTACTTACATTATCATGGTAACTGCTTTCAGAATAACTACTACCCACTAGACATCCTGGCATGGTAGGAACTCAGTGGTTGGCCTGTAACTCACTGGTCCATGCACTTGACTCCCAACCAACGAGTAACAAGTTCAAACCCAGCCTTACCTACCAAGGTTTCAGCAGTCTTCATAAAATAGCTGTCGCTTATCCTTTAGTGCATGAATTTATGCAAGTTTGCTGAGTGGATTTCCTTTTCATGAGAATTTCGGGAAACAGCCGTTCCAAACACTATATTCCGCAATATGTAGGAGCGATCACCATATCAGAGTAAAAGCTTATGTAGGATGAGAGTCACCCGTCCAAAGGACTAAGGTCATACATAAAACGTCTTTATGAGTTGTTTACAGTTTTGTGACGTCACTGATGTAATTCAACTCGAAAATTACAGGCGGCGATTGCTGTTAATCATCCTTAGCAGTTCACTTGAGTCTAAAACCCGACTATCCATCTATCCGACTATATATATATATATATATATATATATATATATATATATATATATATATATGCGTGAATAAAGTCGTTTTATAAATCATCACTAAGCTCAAAATGGACACCAGTTAGACAGTATGAATACGCTTTATAAACAGAAATACTAGTGGGAGTGAACTGCTATTATTTCATGCTTAAATCTAGAAAAATAAAAGCAGTGTAAACCATGCACACATCCAACCTGTTCAACAAACAGACTACGTTCAATAATAGTATTTTCTGAAGAAAAGTGTCCAAAACGTTTTTTACTAAATACACCGTATTGATGAAAAAACTAAATATAGCATGCTTAGTAGCCAGACCCTAAATTGTTATGCCTACGATGGTTGCAATATAAATGACTCAAAAAACTGAAATTCCTCAAACTCGATAGCAAGATGGCAGTATGTCTAACATGTGCCCGTAAATATCACTCTTATATCAATTAACTCATGGAATTTCATGGCACCTCATTGGCATACTATGAAATTTGACTTAACAGTAAATTTAGTGATATGGTAGAAAAGATACGGAACTCGAGAGCAAATAAAGTATACACTCACCAGTAATAGAGACTATGAACAAAGGACATTATCTCTGACTAAGAACCTGACTATAATCTATTAACGAACATACTCATGCGAACTAAATCTATCAGGTATGTGACAGATCTCAAACCAAACTAATGCACTAAAACTTAAATCCCAATACAAACTGAAAGTAGCCTATCGAGTAGGACGGATAACACTGCTTCGATGATACAAAGCATGAAGCTTTGGGACGGGGTAGCTGTAATATTATTTGTTCGCCAGCAGTTTTTTATGCTCTACGAAATATGTACTAAGACCCATCTTACTGCTCAAACCATACACATGTTTATCGTACGACTACTCAGAAAAACACTGAGTTACCTCGAGGTCCTCAAGCTCGCGTAGAAGGTCATCTTCATCGTAGTCTGCATTGAGACCCATAGGAGTAGATATTACGTTCGAAATTTCTTGACAAGTGTCACGTTGCTCTTGGATATCATCCATAATATTTTGGACGTCGTCTGCTGTCCTAAGGATTGAAAAATGAGAAAATAAAGTCATTTACATGTTCTTGTGAACATTTTTTAGGGCATTTGATCCATATCGCATAGCATTTAGAACCTCAACGTTAGTTCCAGCATTCTCCAAAGCTTCTATATGGCTATCAATTGTATTAAGAGTTCCATCAATCTGGGCAAGCTGTTTCTCATAGTTCCTTTTCCTAGCCAAAGCCTGAAGAGCCACTAGTAAACCTAAGAGTTTTCATAAATCCATCTTACATCTTTTATTTTTAAGACCATGTTTTCTAGCCACAGCTATTTGCTCTTCAATTTTCCCTTCGAGGAAATTCGATTTCTTTGTAAGCATTTCATGCGTATCCCTAAGCTTCTGGATAGCTGTTTGCGTCTCTGCTTTCTCATTTTTTTTCGACTTGAAAAACTTTGACAAGGAACTCATTCCTGACCGCCAAATCTGGAGGTTTGGAGCACCGCCACTACCAGTAATGTGAATATTGTGAAGGTCAAATTTTGACTTCATGCCGATGTCATATACATAGTGGGCTGGAATTTCCGAAAATTCTTCGTCCATTTTATCCAAATCGTACCATGGATTTGGTGTCTTCTTCATACATTTCATAGTAAATTCACAGCCTTCAATGTCCACCGTTAACAGTGCATGTAAAGGGAACTTGTAGTTTATGAACTCTCACTTCAGGTCTTAGGAAGTGGTTATTTCCCCCTATCCATGCTTCTTTAGTCACAGAAGAAGTTACCTACCTACAGCTTTGGAAATAGCGGTTGGCAATTTCAAGGTTTTCTTTCGCAAGTTGTAGGCTCATTTGATTGAGGGGGGAGGCGGGCAGCAGAGTTGTTGATAAGACTGTAGCGTCATACACTTCCCCAAAATCAGTAGCCTAGGGTTTGACGACTTTCGACATTGATGCTGACCTTGATAGTTTAACTGGACTCGCTAAGCTGAAGGCACCCGGTCAAGCATCCTCGCCATTTGGCACGCTGTCGTGTTACGTTGCATTGCTCGTATTCGACTCTCTAGCCAGTTAGTTGGAACGCATCGGTATTTTGGCATAACCATCCAAATATACTATTCCATCCGACTACGCTATCGTGTTCTTCCTTGGTCTCGTATTCGTGGGTATATAACAAGTTCGAATAATTAGTGATTGGTCTTTGCGTCTGTCAAGTTCGCACCAGGACAAATCCTAAATTGGTGAGCCCGACGTGATCAATATCCACGTGATCACAAATCCCGACCAATAACAAGTATTGAATTGGTGAGCCTGTTCCATTTTATATTTGTTTATTGTTTTCATTTCGATAACATTTATATATCCATTTACTACACTTTCTCATGTCCGACCACACTCCCAAGCTTATTCGTATTAAGTCGACTACGAACACGATCCAACTCGTGCCATATTGGCCAGACAATGCAGAAACATGGTTTCTGTATGCCGAGGCCGATTTTCGAGAACAGGGTGTCTCAGATCCTCAATCTCGATTTCTTGCTGTCATCCGGTCACTACCGCGAGAATTAAACAGGTATGTTACAGCAAACATGTTTAATCCTGAAGTAAGTGACCCTTATGCACTTCTAAAGGCCGCACTCTTGAAGAAAAGCGATCTCACAGATCGCCAACGTCTAGACGAATTGCTTCGTAACATCGAGCTAGGCAGCCACTCAGCTACTGAAGTCCTCGCACGCATGCGAGAAGTAATCGGTGCACGAACATTTGACGATGGTTTCTTCCGAGAACTATTTCTCTCGAAACTACCACAACCGGTGCAAACCGTGTTGGTGACACTCCAGTCAGTCCCACTCGACGACCTGGCAGCCTCAGCAGATAAAATACTGGAGATATCCAGCAGACCCGTCTCCAACGTATATTCTATCTGCGACAAAACAGAGCGCCAGGATTCAGAGGTGACCAAGTTGTGCAACTCTGTGAAACGGTTGCTACGATCTCGAAGTCCTAGATCACGTAGCACTTCACAGAAACGCACCTTGGCGCATCGCAGCAAGTCGCGTGGTAGCCCTAAAACGAAACCCAACAGGGTGGAAAACCCTGAATGGTGCTGGTTTCATAACACTTACGGGGATGAAGCCAGAAAATGTCGTAAACCATGCCGTTTTAAGAAGGACACAAACTCGGGAAACGGTCACGCCGGCACGTGCTCACGGCAACCGTAGCCGGCGGAAAAAGCCGTTTGCTCTACGTCACGACTTAAAACGAAAGTCCGCTACCTCGTCGACACCGGCGCAGAAGTTAGCATTCTTCCAGCAACGACAAAGGAGCGTCATCTTGACCCATCCTTCAATCTTCAAGCAGCCAACGGCAAGGCAATCGCGACATTCGGGAGACGGTATGCCTACCTCAACTTAGGTTTACGCAAACCTATCCACTGGATTTTCCTCCTGGCAGACGTCTCTATGCCCATCATTGGCATAGATTTGCTAAACCATTACGATCTACTCGTAGATGCTCGCCGTCGACGACTGATAGATAACAGCACAAAGTTATCTATTGGCGGCACCACCTATGTAGGTCCGAGTTTAGCCATCGTTAGGACTAAACAATCAGGCGACGCGTCCTACCAGGCAGTTCTGGAGAAATATCCAGAGTTACAGCAACCGAAGCACACTCTTCCGTGCATAACCAGCAATGTTATGCATCACGTCACAACCACAGGTCCACCTGTGGCATCCAAAGCGCGCCGTTTAGCCCCCGATAAGCTGCAAACGGCGAAAAATGAATTCGACCACATGCTCGAACTGGGCATTATCAGACCGTCGAACAGTCCTTGGGCATCGCCATTGCACATGGTTCCCAAAAGGATAGCAGTGACTGGCGTCCAACCGGTGATTACCGAAGGCTCAACGCCAAAACAACTCCGGACTCCTACCCGATACATCAATACAAACCCTCGTACACTTTGCCTTTTTATATCAATTTTTATTTACCATGTAATGAAATTTTAAAAAAAACGGTGAAGATAAGCGTAAATTTTTATTTTTCGATATGTTTATATATAAATAATTCCCATTTTTACGCAACGTTTTCGTGGTATTAAAGACTTTTATTTATATTCCAGGTGCAACGAGCACTGGACGGAACGTCGAAAGGAACAGATGACCGCGACCGACGTACAATTTCATTTATTGTATTTTATTTATTTAATCGCCACGACACCCTAGAATAAGGTTCAGACAACCAGGGGCCACCTCACGCAGTGAGCCCATCGGAAGAGTTTTACCAGTGGAGAAACCACTGGGTTTTTACTTCCGGCTGGTATCGTCTTAGGGTCCTCACGAACCCACTAGGGGGGGAGTGATCTGTAGCGTCATACACTTCCCCAAAATCAGTAGCCTAGGGTTTGACGACTTTCGACATTGATGCTGACCTTGATAGTTTAACTGGACTCGCTAAGCTGAAGGCACCCGGTCAAGCATCCTCGCCATTTGGCACGCTGTCGTGTTACGTTGCATTGCTCGTATTCGACTCTCTAGCCAGTTAGTTGGAACGCATCGGTATTTTGGCATAACCATCCAAATATACTATTCCATCCGACTACGCTATCGTGTTCTTCCTTGGTCTCGTATTCGTGGGTATATAACAAGTTCGAATAATTAGTGATTGGTCTTTGCGTCTGTCAAGTTCGCACCAGGACAAATCCTAAAAGACCAGTTAACGTTTTACAGTTCCTGTTTCTGTAAGCACCTGCAACTGATCACTAAGCGTTACTTTAGCATTGTTTCGGGAAATAGGGTGGGTAGGGAGTGGAGAGAGATGAGTGAAAAGTACTTGTGGAAAATAAGCGTTAGTAGTAATCATCAGATTCAGATTCAGGGTAGTATTCGAGGATAGAAGATTGTGGCCCATACTAATCCTCTTCTAGTGGATCTCTGTGCCTGTCACATTTTGACTTGGGCAATCGATTAAGCGGACACCACTTCTGGGAGTCGGTTCCAGGAGTTGACTTCTGTCAACGAGAACCAGTAATCTAAGGAGGCAACGTTCGTACTTTGCCTTTGCATCCTCTTGCTGTGTCACCCGGGGCATGTCGATTTCGTGGGGATGGAACGGAAAGGTAGATCAGGCCCAAAATTTTTTACTTAGAATCCTGTTTAGCATGACTAGATCTTTTCTGTCTGTCACGGGATAGAGAAAAATCCAGCTCCTTGATTCCTTCGTTATATTCCGGCCTAACCATCGGAAGGATCACGGGAGTGATCGCCTTCTGAACTCTTTCCAGAAGGTCTATATTACTTTTTAGACGAGGATTTGGTGCCTGTCTACATTTTTTGGTTCAGACCCAAATGCGGTGGTGAACATGTAACCACTTGTTTTAGTAAGCTCTCCGGATAACTCACAACGTGTCCTAATACTCAAGGCTGCAGTCGGTCGATAGTGTGCTATGGCCCTCTAGTTTAAGCTTACTGTGGCTCCCAGGTTATTGTGGCTAGTACCAAAAGTAGAGGAGTCCTACAATGTAGCAGATGTTGCCATTAGCGCGTCGTATGTGCATGCTGACACACCTACCTGCGGTGATAAGCGTCGGCCATTTCTCTGGCCAGGTAAACAAGGTGTCTGAATTTGTCTGAAGTTCATGTGTATCCTCATCGTCGATAATTTCCCACTGTCGTCGGCGTGGGGGAATTGCGTGATATTCAGCAACTCATTTATATATTGGATAAGTAGCAGGGGAACCAGGACTGTGCCTTATAGCACTCAGCTCTCCACCAACCCCAAGAAGAGAGTTGAGGATCATTTCTTACCCTCTACTTTTTATCAGCAAGGACCCCTCTAATCCACGCAAGTAGATTACCAGTGACTCGGAAGCTTTCCAGTTTTCCGAGCTGCCTGAAATTAGATAGACTGCCTCCTGAAGTCTATGGAAATGACATCTACAAGTGTCCTAACACCCTTAGGCTTAAATCAACCTTCTCTGGCTGTGAGGAGGTTCCCCAAGCATGAGAAATCTCTGCAAAAGCCATACCGTGATTGAGATAATGGCATGTTGCTCTCCAAGTGAACTGTTATGGCTTTCTTGGTTGCTCTTTCTACTGGTTTGCTGCGGTACTAGTCAAACTTATTGGTCCGTAATTCGGTGGAGGCTGCCTGGAACCTGGGGGAGGGATAGATCTTACTGGGTATACCAGAGATGGACAGTGCGGGGGTGGATGAGAATACGCCCAGTTGCCGCTGGCAAATGTTGATGCCAAACCGCTTACGGCAACGGCCAAGACCCAAACTACAGTAGAGTTGTGAGGTATCCTAGGGTCTTCATCCCTTACTTGTTGTCCGCCATCTTTCGGCGCCATCGTCAAACAGGGGAACGGACTTGGAGGTTCGGACTGGGATGTCACCCATGAACAGCAAAACTTTGTGTGGCCTAAAGGTTACTCATTCAGGAACTCCTGTTCCGGGGCTCTTTCAG